TGTATCATATACTATATCATACTGCACCATACTACACCATGCTGTATCATATATTATACCATACTGCACCATACTATACCATGCTGTATCGTATACTATATCATACTGCACCACACTACACCATGTTGTATCATACCATATTACATCATGACCTTGATCATGACCAGTGATATAACAGTACATTTTTGATGGTATCTATCAGGAAGGAGAGATGACAATAGTGGGATGTTGATACATTGTAAGGTGCTTAAGAAAGTGTGTGCGGTTAGTAGACACAAGGACTCTGCCAAACCCCAAAGCTAACTCTGACGTGGTGGTCACAAAGTGAGTCATGCGACTCAGTATCAGGAGATACTATTATCTTCACTTATACTTCAGTGTGTGTGTGTGTGTGTGTGTGTGTGTGTGTGTGTTTGTGTTTGTGTTTGTACTGTATGTAGATGTGGAATTAGCAGGACAACAAAATTTTGGTTTTAATCAGCTGGGCCGAAGTAGTACATACTATGATTGTGCTTGTTGTAAATTAAAACCCATTTGTAGTAAAGAAATTGTCAATCCATATACAGACACCATAAGCATACTTCAAATACGTTGTTCTAAGTTTAGTTTACATTTGTGAAACTAAGTAGAAAGCAAACCTCTGAAAGCATAGCCCATCAGCTTGTCTGAAACACAGCTGTCTCTTCCTTTCTTTGCCACTTGTGGTTTTAGGGGCTGTCCATCTCAGAATACATGCTGTGAAATAACCAAGAGCCACAAGGACACCTAAACACAGAGCTTTCAAAAGAGAATGTCTTCCACTATCTTTCTCTAGCCACCACTGAGATAACACACACACTTCCAAATTTGAAGGGTGTTTGTATGAGTTAAGCTTGATGTGCTTCCAGTGTGGGTGTCTCTTTTGAAGTGGGCCAAGGCCATCTCCCCTGCACTTCCTGAGGGCTTGGAAGGATGCGACTTGCTTCCTCCCTGCTTACTGGGAATCTCTGAGACATTCCAAAACCTTGTTGTCTTATGGGACCACTTATGCATACGTCACACATATCACTCCATTAAAATTCCATATCAGTGAACTGTAGCTTGCTGTCTTATTTGAAAATCTGAGATGCCCAGAGTCTGTTCTCTACTGTCAGTGTGCACGTCTGTACATGTGTAGACTTTTATATGCATACATTGCTGATTACAGGTTTGGAAAAACCTGATTAAATGTTTTGGGTTTTTTTTTTCATGATTATAAGGCCTTTGATTTTAAGAAAGTTTCTAAAAAGTTATTTTAAGAAGTTATTTATTTTTTAAAACTTAAAAGAAGTTAAGCAGCCATAACCAGGCCCAAAAAAATCCTAAAATGTAAAATATGGTTTGTTTAACACTTTTTTTTACATAATTAACAATGTGTTAGTTCATAGTTTTGTTGACTTCACTATTTACTATTTATTGGCACTATTTCCCAAGATCATTAAAACTGCTAGTATCATTAGCAGCGGGTATCCTTGCCGCCTCACAGCTGCAGGGTCTCCTGTTCGACCCTGAGCTCAGGTAAATGTCAGTGTGTTCTCCTGTGTCCATGTGGGTTTCCTCCCACCTGCTAAATACATGCTGGTAGGTGTTTTGATGACACTAAAATTCCAAAAAGTGTGAATGAGTGTGTGTTTATGGTACCCTGTGATGGACTGGTGTCCCATTCAGGATGTATTCCCACCTCACATTCCCATGATAAGCTTTGGATCTTGACCTGGAGAATGCAATTACTTCAGGTGAATAAATGCACGAATTAATTAAAATGGCTTTGAAAAGCACCTCTCCATGTTGGCCAACTAAGTATTCATTTAAGATAAAAAGGGTCAAATACATACATGTGAAAAGTGAATCATTTTTGAGTAGGTGTACTGTGAATTTTTGTGAACTCATGCTGATTGTTTGCTTGTGTTTGCTGTTGTAGTTTCGATGTGGAGAATGGGCCGTCTGCAGGATGCAGTCCTCTGGATCCACAGGCCTCCCCTGGCTCGGGGCTCATCCTGCACCCAAACTTCTCCCAAACCGGACACAACCAGCGGCGGGAGTCCTTCCTGTACCGCTCAGACAGCGACTACGACCTCTCACCCAAGTCAATGTCCCGCAACTCCTCTGTCGCCTCAGAGCTGTGAGTTATAACAACAACAACAACAACAACATCAATAATGACACCTCACAAAGCACAACGATGATCATAAAAGTAATTCAGGCAACCCAAGACAAATGTAATACATAACGCAAACAGGAAAAAATCCAGATCAACAGGTCACTTACTCTACATAACAGTCTGCATCAGTTTAACATAAGACTTTACATGACACTATTTGTTAATCATTATCATAAAATTGGCCTTCGCAATAAATGATGATGGAAAGCTACAATAAGCAAATGATTAAACTGTTTTATTGTGTGCTCTGAACATCCCAATGCTTTAGTGCCATCATTCTCAAAGTTGCACCGCAAAAAAATGATGAGTGAAAATATCCTGAATATGGGCAAATTTATCTAATAAATTTCTTATTATGAGATTATTAAATCAAATATATGATTGATTTTAATGTCTTTAAAATTATGTGCCAATAGAACAAGACTATTTCAGGATTGAAATTATTAAACATTTCTAGAAATAGGTTTAATAATTTTTATATATTTGGTTTATTGTAACCCTTTAATAGGAAATACTAGAAAACTTTTACTATATTCAAGATATTTTCACTTTTTCATTTTTTTATTTTCACTTGCTAAGATGGAATTTTTGCACTGTGTGTCCATGATTATAGTAAATTATTAATTTAATAAATTATTTGTTTGTTTGTTTTAAAAGACATGCTGTCAGTCAAGATCATTAACAGTTACTATAAAAGTGGTTGCAGTTGTTATATTTCATTATTATGCACCTAAGCCTAAAGCACAATCTATAGCTCAATAAGTTACAAACAAATATTTAAAAAAAAATCTAACAGTATTTTAATTACATTTAGAAAAGCACTATTAATATGATACAAAATGATTCAAAGCTTTGCTGGTTTGAGTTTTGTGGGAGAAAAATTTAGGGGGAAATTTAGTTTATTTATTTTTATAATGGCTCCAAAAATGAAATATTATGCTGCATTTGCCAAAATATTTGCCTTATGTTCCTAATTATATCAATAAAATAAATATGTGCTTTAAACATTAGGGAGTTTGTGGAAAGTTGGCAATGGCATTTTGGCCTAAATGATGATGTCTGACTGTGTGTCTGCCTTGTAGTTCTTCTGATTTTTTTTTGTCACTTCAAAACATTCAGCATAACATGTGCTTAAAATTTGCGAAAGAATCAAACCTACAGAAGCTGGAATTAGGTGGAATTAGGGGAAGGAATTGAGGGCAGGCTGCAGCATGTCTCACACGCTGCCTGATTTCCTCTGATGGCCCCAGCTGGCACTGACTGCCTGCATTACATAAAGCACATTTCCCACTGACGCCTTATTAACCGAACTGCTTTTTGGAGCCCAGGGATTGTGGTGGATTGTGTACAGTTTCACACTCTTTTATGCAATTTGTAGTCGTCAGCATAGTAGGTCATTAGCAGCTTCTTTTAGCCCATACTTCTACAGTGAGACACTGTCATTTCTTACACCTTGCAATGATGACATTTACAGTGTTGCTTAAAGTGGTTTTGTTTTGATGTAATCTGACTTTAAAAGTAAGCTGTCATATCCTGTTGTGCATACAGACATGGGGATGACCTAATCGTCACGCCTTTTGCTCAGGTAAACACGACCTTATCTTTTCACGTCACTTTGTCGTCATTAATGTGATTACTCGGCAGTACACTGGAGCTTTTCTCATGTTAATATTTACTTTTGTAGCATTAAACATATTTACTTAAATACTCATTCTGTCTGTGTCTAGGTTCTGGCTAGCCTTCGAAGTGTCAGAAACAATTTCACCGTCCTGACTAATGTACAATGTACATCAAACAAGTAAGTTATATTTGCTATTTAAATGCACTTTTAGCATCTGAAATTTAAATAACATTAGAAATTTTTGCAGGTAAAAAGAAAATGTTACCAAAAAAAAACATTTTCTTGCACATACATCATTCAAATCCGTGTAAATTTCATTCCACTCAAGCTAAAATACAATTTAGAAAAAATATGTTTTGCCTATAGATGATTATTCATACTTTATAAATCCATCGCCCTCATTTTCAGTTTGTAAATGATCAGTCGAAAAACCGACAGCTATATTATTACAATTATGTTTGATTAGAATGTGACATCTTGTCGGTTCCCTGGTCTAGTGGCTAGCATGCGGTGCTCTCATCACCGAGGTCTGGGTTTGATCCCTGGTCAAGGAACCAACCCCAACCACTGGAGGTTTGCACGAGCCAGTGCACCCTCAGTGCCAGAAATGGGGAGGGTTGCATCAGGAAGGGCATCCGGCGTAAAACTTGTGAAACCAGTCTCGTAAAACCAGATTATCTCATTTATTTCTCTGCATATTGCATTATTAAAAATACCATTTAAGACTGATTTAACACTAAAGTATATTTTAATCAGATTTTTAAATTAAAAATTGAACAATTAAAGTGTTCAGTGTCTACACCTGCACTAGCATTTATCATTGTGCATTTCTTAGCTGTGATAAAGCTACACCATTTAATCACTTAACAAGTAGACAAACTGCTTAACTCCATGGCATCGCTTAAATTTTTGGATATTTTAGTCTGGGTGTTTAAAATGCAGCTCACTTTCTGACATGTTCATATTGCGTATAAATCATATTTCTGTGGTTGGGGAGTCCACAACATTTCAAAATAAGACTTATATACATTTCACAGGTGAACAATTCCTACAATCACCATGGTGTGTTATACCTCATAAGCCTACAGCAGCTACTGGCCATCTGCAGCTATTGGCCATCTAACGGGCTGCAGTGTGTTACTGAGACACAAGAGGGCAGTGTGAGCATAGTGTGGAGCTGCAGCCAGCAATAAAGTGCACTGACCCCATCTGACATTTTCCTCATCCCACTTTCCACTTAGCGTTTGACCACTTTTAAAGCATTAATCGCCTGCTTAGGTCTTTTCCACGCGTCTGTCGTTTCCTCTCAGTGACACGTTTTTCCAGCTAGAATCTGAGAGCGGAGGGAGAAAAGGCAATTCCTCACTTTAATTGAGCGCAGGGATTATTTTTCCCCTTGACTTACCACGAGCTACGTCAAACCAATTAAGACACTCTGTTAGAGGCGTTTGTTGGGTTCTGATCAAGTCTGTCACGTCCCGAGCCAGACAGATGGGGATCAAATCAATCTCCCAGACTGGCTGTTGTTTCTGGAAACATTCAGGAAGATCAGTCCTGTCTGAGAATATTGAAGGAAATACCATATAACATTAAAGACCTAGAGCATATTCATATGTCTAAGTTATAAATAAATGATTTACAGCATTACATATTAGACGTCTTTTTAATAACATTGAGGTATAAAGTCAGTTTGCCCTGATAACATTAAACACAGAGGCACACAAATTAATGTGGTAGATTTATATCCTGTTAAATATATTAAATGTGCTGAAGCCCACTATTATATGCACACTTTTTTCCATTTAGGAGATCACCGGCTACCACGCAGCCCTCCCTCACCCGAGTCTGCCTGTCTGGTAAGCCGTCACACTTCATTATAATGTGAATGTGTAAACCAGTCTGATTAACATTTCATGTGCTGAGATATTTCTTCAAAATGCCTAGCTGTTTCAAAATTCCCAATATATCTTATCTTTGTATTAAATATTAGCATTATTTGTATAAGCCGGCATCTGGCTGGGCATTTTTCCTTTGCTTTGTGATCTTTCTGATGCAGTGTGTGTGTGTGGGGTGTGTGGGTGGCTGTGTGGGTGTGTAAATAAGAGATGGATGAGATGTAACAGAGTAAAGAGATCTTAAAGTAAAGTCATTTCGCATCACTTTGTTGCTCTCAGGTCAAAATGGCATCATCATACAAATAGGATGGTTAGATTGGATTGGATTGGATTAGATTCAGCTTTTTTGTCACTGCACAGTGTACAAGTGCTAATACAACAAATATAGTATAGCATCTAACCAGCAATAGAGGCAAAGTGCAGAGTAAGCAGATCTAAATATATCACTACGATCTATGAATGAATGACAGTACATGAACTTATGTACAGTATGTTTGAGAAAGTGACCCAAGGACATACAATTTTATTGACAAAAAAATTAGTGGATTCTTTTAAGAGTTGTATGAAATTTTTGTTTGAGCTCTGACTACAATGCTGTGGCTTTTCAGGAAATCGAATAGATCAGATATATGGTAGAGGTTGCAAGACTACTAATTTTTACTAGTCGATATGTAATTCAGTATGTAATCAGTTGTCTTTTCCATAGTTAAAGCAAAAAGTGTTTTGGGACATTGTTATTTTTAGGCTGTTGTGTTTGCGTAGCTAAGAACCTGTCAAACTGCACTTCCATTAACAGCCTTACACAGGCTACAGATTATATTCCAGCTTCAGTGATTTTTAGGTTACGTTGTTTAACGACGAAAGTAAATAAATCAGTCTCATAAATGTGCAAAATAATAAATCTGTGTATCCGTGTCTTCATTGTTAAAATGCACTCATGTGGACGAGCTGGAAGCTCAGGTGAAATCTTTGGTTCTGAAACTGAGAGTGCGCAGCGTGACACAGAAGCTCTTTATAACTTAATGATGGATGGAGGATGTAATATCTACAGCAGGAAGGTTTTTCCTCCAACTCCTGCCTCAGTAGCGTGCAAAAACGAGTCTAGATCAGCCTCTTTGAGCTGGCCTGTGCTGCAGATCTGACTCTAATCTAGCTGAATGGGATTAGATAGTGATGTGCAACCCACGGCTCCAAAAGCGCTCTTTCACACAGCGCTGGTCACAACGCAGTTTACTCCGCCGCAGTGCCAGTGTTTTATTTCAGTTTTATTCAAAGGACAGCAAAAATAACTGTGGGAGGAATTCCTTTTCGAGTGGATGGGAGTGGCATTAAAAAAATAATCTCGAGCACACCACTTCACTTGATGCAAAGTGCTAAAGGAAGCAAAAAAAAAAAGGCAAAAAAACTTTTACTAGCATAGGTTTGTGTGGTTGATTGTAGAATTAGCTTCATCTAGTCTGAAATATTTTCAGACTAACAAAGTGCATTTAGCCTTCTTGCTTTCCTGCCTGCCTCAATGTTCTGGAGTTGACATCCCCACAGCTGTGACTAGTCTATGCAACTCCTTCCCTGTGTCAGGAGAAGTAATAACAAACATAAAAACATCCTAGAGAATAAAAGTTTAATATCCCAGTGGAATTGCCCAGTAGCAGAACCTACGTTATGTTACACTAGGCTACGTGACTCCCCACACTGTTCCCAGCATCTTCTCATTTACCATCACTCATCTCCAGACTAGAATTTGGTGATTGACCCGGCAAAACACACACACCCCTACACACACGAATTACACACACATATTACATCCAAACACAGAACACTACCTATTGTTGAGTCTAGTACAGGAGCAGTGGAATGCCCACAGGAAATGGCAAGCACTTATTGGTCCCATACTCATGGCCATACACATATACACACATACACACACCAACCTATATTGCCCATATTTGACGTTGTTGAGTCTAGTTTCTGTTTATAGGTCTTGGGAGACTGGAGTACAGTCAATGGTGTACGTGTGCATACACACTCCTTACCGGATTTGAGCCTAATGTCAGCATAATTACAAAAATTTGCCTTACAGCTTTCACACCCTTACATATACCACACACACACACACACACACCTGCTGAACCGGCCACACAATACCATTTTAGGGGGCTGTTTTGTCTGACTAGGAGGTCAGCACTTTGGGATAATGGCTGGGAAAATTCCATCAAATTCCCCTGCTCTGGCCTTGAGGGACGCATAGAGCGTCACATCAGAAAATCACAGATGCAAGCTGGAGCCTGCGCTGCAGAGAAACAAGGGTGTTTCTCTGAAATGGGGAGAATGCTGTAGTAGTTGAGAAATCCTTGGCTGCATTTGTTACCGATGAAGTAATACTGGAAGAGATGAAGCGGTATTTGAGAAATATGAAGGTTCCACGTTATACAACAGTTCACACAAGAGTATGACGTTCAGGATTTTTGATCAATAAATCAAAGCCATAATTTGCAGTTTACTTTTTTAAAAAAATATTATTTGATTTAATTAGAAGGAAATGATACTAAGAGATCAGTGCCACTAACTTCCTCATACCACCATTTCAGTAGATTCATTAGTTCCTCTAACCTCTAGTCATTTAAACAAGAACAAAGAGATAATCTCCGGTGAGAGAGAGTGTGAGAGAGCGAGGTGTGTATTGTCAGTAGGAGGTGTTCCTGTCAGGTGCAGTGGGTTGTGATTGACGTCAGTCTGCAGCATGCGGCTTTTGTTGACTTCCCCTCAGCCCAGGTGGACTGGTATACACTTCCTGAAGCCAGTCAGGCCTGATCAATCTTACCAGTATACAAACCCACAGTGACTCAGTGTCTCAGTGCGCTACATTTTTATTTACTTATTCATTTATTTTACTCTGTGTTTAGTTACCATTATCACACACGATTAGAGACTGATAGCAGTGTTTTGTACATCACTGCATTGTGCAAGACTGTACTTGTTTTTTTTTTTTACTGGCAACAAAATTGAAACACCGAGTATATTGTAACACAGTAGACAACTAAACATTGTGGCTCTGCTGACACACTAAACAAGTTCTTTAAGAATTTAAATCATATGTCATAACCTCAAAGGAAGTCTTTCATCATTTTTAAACTGGAAGTACAAGTTCAGTTTTCTTGAGATGATTTAACTGTAATAAGGCATCACAAAGAAGTCATGGGCATTGTAAAAGGAAATGTATAATTTTTATTTTTACTTCGAGGGAAAGAAAAAGAGAAGCTGTTGAGGAAATTAATGTTTATAGCTGCTATAAAACATACTGTATGACAACAGGAATTAACCTGTTTCTTGGACTTTGCACAACTTTAAATGTAACTATAAATGGAGAAAAATTATGAAGTGGCAAATTGCTGTTGTGTAAGAGGAATACAACAATTAAGGACGTGTTGTTATAGGAAAATAATCAAGTCACACTCGTTGAAGTTGTTGATTATTTTCCTGTAACAGCACTGCCATCGTGTATTATTTCTTACATAAAAGATAAACAACCGAACATAATACACTTAAGACACTTATTTTTTAGGGATATACTGAAGCTAAAGCTAAAACTAAAGCTCTACTTTTTATTATCATAGCATGGGTATTAGCTGATACCTGATTCTGATCCAATACCGTCATCATTT